ATACAAGGTAGTCTTCACCCAAGAGTTGTGAAGGAACTCAGATATGAAATCACAGAACTATTAACTGTGGTATGTAACCTATCATTTGAAACAGATGACTGGAGGATAGCTAATATAAGCCCAATTTTAAAATAGGCACCAGAGATGATCCTGGCAATTACAAGCTCATAAATCCAACTTCAATACCAAGCAAATTGATTGAAACTATAGTAAAGAACAGAATTATCAGACACATGGATGAACACAGAATGTTGCGGAAGAGTCAACATGGCTTTTATGAAGGGAAATCACTCCTCACCAATTTATTAGAGTTCTTTGAGGAGGTCAAGCATGTGGGCCATGGTGTACTTGGGCTTTCAGAAAGCCTTTCACAAAGCCCACACCAAAGACTCTTAAGCAAACTAAGCAATAATGGGCTAAGAGGGAAGGTCCTCTCATGGATCAGTAAATGGTTAAAAGATAGGAAACAGAGGGAAGGAATAAATTGTCAATTTTCACAGTGGAAAGAGATCCCTGCATCCCCCAACAATTTGTACTGGGACTGTGTTGTTTAACATATTCATAAGTGAGCTGGAAAAGGGGGTAAACAGTGAAGTGGCAAAGTTTGCAGGTGATACAAAATTACTCAGGATAGTTGAATCAATCCAAAGTTGACTGCAAAGAGTTTCAAAGGGATCTCACAAAAATGTGTGATGAGGTTACAAAATGGCAGATGAAATTCAATGTTGATAAATGCAAAGTAATGCACTTTGGAAAACATAATCCCCCCACCTATAAATATAAAATGAAAGGGTCTAAATTAGCTGTTACCACTGAAGAAAGAGATTTTGGAGTCACTGTGGAGAGTTCTCCGAAGACATACGCTCAATGTGCAGTGGCACTCAAACAAGCTATCAATGTTAGGAACCACTAGGAATGGGATAGATAATAAGACAGAAAATATCATAATGCCACTATATATATCCATGGTACGCCCAGAGCATAATTATTGCACACAGTTCTGGTTGTCCCATCACAACAATGATATATTAGAACGGAAAAGATTACATTGAAGGGCAACAAAAATTATTAGGAATATGTAATAATTTCTGTATGAGGAGTGTTTAAAAAGACTGGGACTGGTCAAGATGAGAAAAGAGATGTCTATGGGAGGATATGATAGAGGGTTATAAAATAAAGAATGGTAAGGAGAAAGTGATGAGGGAAGTGTTATTTACTTCTTCACTAAACATCAGAACCAGGGGTCACCTAACAGAATTAATAGGTAGCAGGTTTAAAACAAACATAAGTACTTCTTCACACAATGCACAGTCAACCTGTGGAACTTGTTGCCAGGGGAAGGCCAAAAGTATAATGGGATTCAAAAAAGAATTAGTTAAGTTCATGGTGGGTAGGTCCGTCAATGTCTATCAGACAAGATGTTCAGGGACACAACCCCAGGCTCTGGGTTTCCCTAAACCTCTGACAGCCAGAAGCTGGGACTGGATGACAGGGGATGGATCACTTGATAATTGCCCAGATCTGTTCATTCCCTCTTAAGCATCTGGCACTGGCCACTGTCAGAAAACAGGATTTTGGGCTAGATGGACCATTGATCTGAACCACTATGGTCATTCTTATGTTCTTATAGACTGGGTTAGTGCCTACCAGCCCCAACATCAGGGGAGGACAAAGGACACATTTGTGTCTGCCTCCCTTAATTTGTGCCAATCCCTCAGCCACAGTTGGGCATCTGGCCCTGGAAGTTTAAATGTTCCCAAATGACTTCAGCTGAGATTGGAATCTGTATCTTTTTTTGGGAGGTGAGAGGGGGTATGGTCATAAACATATTAATTATTTTGCACTGAAACCACCATTTTACTTAAATAAGTGTTCAGAATGAAGTGTTTCTCAAACAATAATGCATTAAAGGATAGTAAGAGAGCCCTACCCAATAAAAAAGTCTTGGCAGTCTTCTCCACTTGGTCCCCCAACACTGTCATAACCTGTCTGGCATGCTTGACTCAACTCTGATGTCAAGTGACTATGAACTCTGCCCAAGGGCCACTAGTACTTGCCACTGCTGAAACCCCAATACTGACATTTATGCTGACAGATGAAGTTGTGGTAGAAATAGAACTGCATTTATCAAAGTGCAAACCTGAAGCCATTGCCTGAGTAATCTCCCTCTCTCTGTGTTCATATATGAACAATTTAGCATCTTCAGTTTCACCACAGCTAGCTGGAATCTCAGTTCTATTGCCAGCCAGGCCATTTTCAATAATAAGACTGTGAAATTTCCAGTAATGTAGTCCTGCTTTTCCTGCCACTAGGTAGGAGACTAAGTATCTGAAGGAAAGTAAATTACAGTGCTACAGCTGTTGTCCTTCATCAGAAATAATGGTAAAAGGGGCCCCTTTTGGCATGCTTTTCTGAGCAGCACATCACTAGCTACTGTGGATTAAAGTATATGAAAGGCACCTCCATAAATTATTAGTATGACTATTAAGCATAAAGGATATTTATTATTAATTGAGCTGTGGTATGCACAATTAAAATACTATATGTTCTTTAAAAGAAATAGAGATTCTGAGTTCTTTAAACTGCAACGACCTCTGCTATGTACGTGCTATAGTGAAGATATACTGAGATTTAACTTTGCATGAGGAAAACCTTGCGGATTAATTTAATATGAGTTGGGATAGGACTGGTGCAGAAAAGTTTAACTAAGTTACCTCTATGTTAGTGTGGAGAGGGAAATTTATCTCCTGGTTACCTCAGGGAATTAGAGGTCAGCAGGTCTCCTGGCATCTCTTCTCAGATCTGACACTGATCCTGTAGGTAGCTTAATTTAACCTGTCTGTTTACCAGTTTGTGAAACTTCTGTAATAAAACTTACCTAACTCTCAGGTATGTCATCAGTATTGATTAATGTTTGTATAAGGGTTTTTCCACACTGACCGATAAGCAATATGCTTAGCCATTCCGTGGCAAGCATGACCAGTCAAAGTGAGACTACAATGAGCTCCAAAAGGAGTCCTGTCTCAGGCCCTGATCCTACACATTAATGGCAAGGTGAGACTTGCCATTGACTTCAATGAGTCCAGGGTCAAGCCCTTAAAGTAGGAGTGTTACGACGACACAGGGCCTTGAGCAAAGTGGGAAGTCTTTTTTCTGAGAATCAGGCTGCAAGGTAATCTAGGCTGAAAGGAGATACTTTATCTTGTTCGGGGAAAACACCACATAGATTCTATCTAACTGAGGCTTTCCAAGCACCTATGCCATAGTATTTGAGTAAGTGCAGCACCCTCAGAAATATTAGGGAGCTATCTCCCTTTTTAAATTGCCTTTAGCAATCTTTTCTTTTCAAAAATCTGTTGCATGCAGCACGACAATTAGCTTTTATCTGTTTATGAGGTTTATCTTTTTGTTTATATTTGATTGAGTTAAGTGTCAAGTGGTAAACCCTCCATCTATCTTTTAAAAATGTCTTTCTGTCAACTGAAATAGTATTTTAGGTTGTTGGGGTTTCTTTGTGGGTTTTTTTTTTTTTTTGCCTCTTCATAAGAAATAGCCTCACTTCCTGACTTGAGAGACTAATCATATTCTTCATTTGTCAAACTTTATTTTTAGCATTCACCTTCACTTCTTGTCTTAATCTGTTGTGCCATGTTCCACCCTACAGGGTGACTTCATTTAAGTGGTGGGTGAAACGATTCCTTTCTATGCAAAATGATTCATATATACTTGTAGTTTGCCAATCACTTAGGGATCTGTGGGAATGAAAGCTCTTATTTCAGCAAGATGTAACTTCAATAAGACAACAAAAACACCTTTTTCTCTCTACTTGACATTCTTCTCAAGGTTCATGTTGTTGGTGAGGCTGCATTTTGTACAAATAAGCAACATACAGATCAAGACTGAGCTCTGGTCTGAAATACAGTAATTGAGATATTGTTGCATAATGTGTTTATCAAATGATTATATGTCAAAGCAAACTCCTGGAACAACTTCAATACAGATAATTTTTGCTGGATTAAAATACATGCTTTTAGGAAGAAGAGCTAATTTTAGGGGGAAAAGTTATGTTCCTTTTTTTAATTTTCACTGATCTTTGTTATCACTTTATCTGGAGAAAACACACACTTCCTCCACAAGTAAGGATAACACAGAGCTTGGAATCATGACTCCTGAATTTCTCCTCCCACATGTGCTACTGATTCTCTGTGACTTTGAGCAAGCCACTTAACTTTGATAAATTACCCCAAATCTGGTCGTTAACTAAGTGCCTCAATGTACACTTTTGAAAATCTGGCCCCCTTTGTTGGTGCTGAGAACTTGATACTCAGCCTCTAAGCTCTTTCGGACATGTGTCTCCCAATATGTATCTCCCATCATCTAGCAGGTGATTGTGTGTGTATTTGTGTGGTCTGAATGGATTACTGCTTAGACCTTAGAGAACTTTATCTTGTGAATAAAGCTGCTAACAGTGCAGCAAGGGACTGTGTTATTGGGATGGGGGATGTGGAAAAGCATGATAGCATGCTGATGCTAAAGATTACTTTCCTGTCTAGAAACTTGTTCACATGACATCTCCTTTAGAGTCACTGATTTACCAAACTGGAGCTCAGATGCAGACTGTGAAGTGACAGAGCTGGCAGAAGATAGCCAGAGGCTGCCAGAGCTTACTGCATAACATGGCCACTTCAAAGCTAGTATCAACCTAGTAATAAACTTAATGAAGCGCTGTGCCTGTAGGAAACAGGGAGTTTTACATACTTGATTGGCACTTTCTTGAGAGTAATTTATTTCACTGATCTCTGCCAAATGCAGACTTAGAAAACTAAGAAGCCCGAATGAAAATTACTGACAAGCTTTTAGAACCCCTGGTAAACATACTTCTAAATGTGGTTTGCTAATTAAGAAGAAAATAAAGTGCCTACATAATGTAACTGAATGGCAAGCAGCTGGTTTAGAAGTCTTCTAGTGTAATTGTCTGTTGTTCCTTTCCCTATGTTCAGCAATCTGCTTGGAACGTGGAGGGAGGAGAACGGGTTGCAGGATGGAAGAGTTTGGAAGAGGCACCAGTAAGTTATTCTGTATGCACGTTCCTAGAATACTAGCTCCAGTTGCAGCACTTCTGTGAATAGATTTCTTAAAAAAGAGCCAGCTTATTACACACCTGGCATCCTCTCCTGTTAGTATCTAGCATGCTGTACATGAAAAAATTATAGACAATGGGCCACATCGTCAGTCCAACTGTGGCTATTTTGCACTGCTTCGGTAGCATAAAGGACCAAAAGGCCAGCATATTAAAGAACCTCCAACTAGTATAGAATAATATTTGTGACTCTTTACCAGTAGAATCTAATGTAGCAGGTGTGGTCCAGGGAAAATGTGTGGCCAGAGCACCGCTGTGTTCCTGTAATTCCCTGACTGCTGGATTGTGCACCTTAGGGCCATAAGCACTGAAGCACAACTTTACTTAGAGCATTTAGATGACTGTCTGTACATTTCCACTTTTTATATCCTTATGTTAAGGTGGAAATAACATTTGAGTTGAAGATTAATTTGGTCTTTAAATTATAGATTTTCAACTACCAAATCTTGTTTGAGCTGGTGAATACAGCTGCTGCCTTTCCACCAATTCATGATATTATTTCCTTCTGGATATCCCCATGGGCTTGCATGTTACTGCCAAGATATGGGAATTGACTCCCCTTGTGCATTCCTTTGCCTTCCAAAGTAATGCTTCAATTGGGATTTTCAGGGGTTCTCATTAGATTTGTTTCTTCAGAATCCATTATTAACCCCATCAGTTTTGCAATGCTGAACAGTCTTTTAGTCTTTGCTTGCATGTTGGTTGAGCTATTACGTAGACGAGCTATGTCAAATGTTTTAGTGTACTGTTTTTGACCCATGCATTATCGGTGTTTTATCAATCTAAACCTTTTTTCATAATGAAGTAAAAGACAATTCCAAAGAGGAGAAGTGAGAAAATGCATCCTTATTTTACACCAGTCTCTGTTAAACCATTCACTCAAGTCTGCGTTTACCTTAACTATGCAATTTGCAGCTTGATATAAAGACTTGATGTTAATTATTTTTGTTGGCATACCATAACAGTTCAAGATGTTTCAGAGTGAATTTAGATTGAGGCTGTCAAATGGTTTCCTAAGAAATGTATAGTAAGTGGGGTTTGCCATTCAACGTTCTTTGATTATTCTTAGGCTGAAAATCTGATTGACCCATGATCTTCTGGTTCAAAATCCAAAGTCTACTCTTCACTTAGCTTTGCCTCAATCACTTTATTTTTATTCTCCTTAAGATGATACTGTTGAAGACTTGGCCTATTATTGAAAGGAGTGTAACACATTGCCAGTTGTTGTAGTTGGTTTGGTAACCTCTCTTTTGTATTTTCATTATAATTCCATTTTTCATTGTCTTGGAGCTTTTCCTGGACCTGTACTTTGTTGAAAAGTTCAGTGATTTTATTGATGGTCTCATCACCATAAGCTTTAAATGTTTCCATAGGGACTTGGTCTTAACTTGCAGCATTCTGAAGTTTTAACTTTTTTATTATCTCTCTCTTCTCTTTGTGATGTGAGATGCCATGATGTGGAACTATTACATTAGTTCTGAGTGGAATTTCTTTGTGGGTGTCATTAGTTTCTTCTGGTGTTGGTCTTTTTAGCACTTCTTTAAAGTATTATGACAATCTCACTCTTTGTTCTTTGTCTATTAAGGTCCTTCCTTGATTATCCTTAATATGCTCCTCTCGCTGATATAAACTTGTTACGTTTTTTGATATCACTTCTTTCAACAGCTACTTCAGCTTCTTTGCAAAATTATCTGTGTATTTCCTCTTGTCTCTTCTTCCTCTGCTTTTACTGCTTTTCCCCTTGTTATCTACAGATTTTTTGCTACTTCTTTTTCTGGAGATGTTTTTGAGGAGTTGATGTTTTACTTTGGCTCTTAACCAACTACAGTTATAAAGATATCTATTATACTGTTATACAGGTGGGACCATGGTGTGTCGGTGTTGACTTCATGTGTTGGATCTATAACTCATGGCACCTGAAATCTGTCCTTCAGTTCAGTTTGAAATTTTTCTATAATGTTTGTCTACTAGATTTTGCTGTCAATTTTCTTGGTGCTTTTTCCACCATGTCAACTTGCAGTCCCCAGGGAAGGAAAACATCTAATAGAAGTAACAAAAAAATCTTCATCAACATAAACTCAAACAAATTGACCCCATACAACATATGAATAAAACAAAATCTTCCCGTTTTCTCCTTAGTACTAATAATTATTAAGGTCCAGTTCATCTCAAAACTAGGGATTGTTAAACCAGACTAGGTAAGCTAAGAGCCAGCCTGAATATTCAGCCAATAATATTCACCCAAACTGAACTTTGAAAAGTTTCTGACGTTTTCCCGCCATAACTTTTCATCCTGATGCCGTCTCTGTAGTTCTTGGTTGTGTCTTGGGGTGGCAGTTCTGAGAAACCATGAGAGAAGCTTTTTATTTATAGTGCTCTCAGCCCATGTCCAAGAAAACTGAATAATATGTACTTAAATGTCTGACCTTTGGATATTTATTCAAATTGAATTTAACCTTTTGAGAGCACATGAACCAGAATAAAGAACTCAAACTCCCCCAATCTTGGGCAGCTTGGATCTGAAGTTTTCAGATAAGAACACATCTGTTTTTGAGGTTTCACCAGCTGCTCACTGCAACCTGGATCTTGCTTATTCCAGAACTGAAATCATAGTGCTGTGTCCTAACATGACATTCAGGAGCAGAATAAGGCACAGTCTTTGAGATATAAGCCCCTAGTAGGAATAAGCTTGGACTCTAGTGAGTCAGAGGAAGAAGCAAGGATTGCAATACAAGGTCTCAGTTGCTTCATGTGGCAGAAAGCTAAACCGTTCCTCATGTGACGCCCATCGGTCTATTCCATTTCTCATCTGAAGGGAGACCAACTTTACAGAAGGGAGAGGAGCTCAGTCTTCATGGTCTAGCTTCCTGTGGTATCCTTGTAAAACTGATTGTACTGACGGTTTTGTGATATAAGTATTTTAGTGAGGATCCAAACCAAAGCCCTAGATCTGAACAGCTCTGCAATTTGGGGGTGCTTGAAATATGTAAACCTGTATCTGTAGCTGAACTTTGAAAATGACCTGTTGGCCAAACCTGGACATCACATCTGAACAACCTCAAGCATTGGAGGATTCATGTTCTAAATTAAGATTGAATTTTTCATCTTGGACATCTTGACTGCTGTTAGAGGGCTCAATGCTAATGCTTAACATGCCTAGAATTGCCTATAAAAGGTGGACAGCACTTCTCAAATACATCTCCACATTCTGGAAAATTCATTTTATTCTGTGGGGCAAACCCACTGCTGATACAAATGGGTGGACTTCAATGGGTTTTTAGGTATGGACAATAGTAGTGAATTTGGTCCTACTGTAATAGATTCCAGTTCTTTTTTATAATATTCTTCATGATTCCATAAATATGATTTTTAAGCTGAAGTTATATTTTTCTGACCTGAATTTCCAGAGAAAATTGACCTTGGTCATCCTCAATATCTCCCAATGACCTGATGACTAATCTTTTTTCTTCTCATACCCTATAAAGAAGCACAATACACATTTAATGAACATCTGAAAGACATTACAGACACTTAGGAAAAAATGTAAATAAGTTTAGTCACCAAAGCAGAATCCTGACATGGCTTCCAGGCTTCTGCAAGTAAAATGAACTTGGTGTGATTGTATGTCAATTATAAGTCTAAGCAACTGGAGAAGAAATAAGGAAACACCCTCCTCACCTCAATCAGAGGTTAATTGGACTGTTATATTCACAGAGACGCTATAATTTTGGTCCCCTGTGCATGATTTCATAAATATTTGAAAAAAAGTGTCAGAGTAAAAATAGACAACATTTGGATTTATTTAAAGTCGAGTAACAAAGGGGATCAGATAGCTGGGTAGAAAAAGAGGTAAGAGAAATGATGTAAACAATTTGTTGTTTATCCTTGACGTATGGCAATTAGATGATAGATTAGTTTTCTGCTTCAGATGCAAAATACAGAAAAACTCAGGAGAGACATAAAGGAGACAATAAAATAATCCCTACAGTTCTTTCACAGTTTCCAGGGCTCTGTTTTAATACTCAGAGTCTTAAATACATTCCTTTCTTTCCTTCTTTCCCTCCTGTGGCTTCATAGCATCTGTAGAAGCGCTTACCTGGTATGGCTTCTCTGGCCCTCCCATTACCTCAGTTTCTTCTTCTCCCCAGTTTATCAGACTTCACATTGCAGTTGTATTCTCAATAACTCTCACCTTTTAGGAGTCTGTTTTATTAACACAAAGTTCAAAACTACACAAAAAGTTTCCACCCACCTTCCTACTGGACCTCCACCCTTGGCACAAGGTTCTTAGTCCTTTTCCTGCTGAGGCTTTCCTCATAATGGGCTCCTGGCCATCCTGGCCATTTCCTAGCTGGTGACTACTCCCTGCAGGTCTCTCTTCCAGGACTTCTAGTTAAACATTCTGGAGTGTGACTCAACTCAGGTCTCATGACTGGCCCTTTCCTGGATATTCCTCCTGCTCTTTGGTGGAAAGTTCACTTTCAAGTCTGCTGTCCCTGGATGATCACAGCCCACCCTTATGTTTCTCAGCAGCCCTGGTTCTTAGTCACATGCCCCCCATCATGTGACACTTGTATTCCTACCCTCCACTTGGGAAGAGGCGCTAAGCCTGGCACGTGTGCATATGAACTCCAACTCCCTTGAAGGGTCAACTCAACCTTTTGCACCATCCATTTTCAAGACTTATTGGCATCAACCAGAGCTCCCTAAAGTTTTTTTAACACACTCTGATATTTTAATTATTATTTTGCCATTGTTAGGTGAAATCTAGGTTAAAGGGGTTATGTTTACATTCATTTACTCCCTCCATTCTCTTCGTTAGATTTTTTTTTATGGGCTTATATCTCAAAGACCATGCCTTATTCTGCTCGGTGAAGCTTTCTATGAACTTTTCTGCTCTGTCTTCAAAGGCTGCTCTTTGCTGAT